TTAGCACACAGCGTAGACGTCTAGAGACCAATTCCATTTTTCAGTCTTCCCATAGAGGCATCACAGTTATAATATGCTAAAACTTGACAGTAGGCGCCGGAGCGAAGCGACGGCAAGTCTTGTTTTCTTTATGGAAATCCTCCCACTTGACGGTTAACTTGGCCCACCCAAGTTAGATCAATGAGATCAGCGAAAGTAACTTATGCCATCAGATGGCAAGTTACTTTCGCCCTGTCAAGGGCTAGAATCGCTCCAGAAGACCTGCTATGGGGCCTGGCGGTCACGAAACTCATTTTCCACACAGATATAGGTATCTGACTGACAGTTTCTACCTAAACACTGGCGGAAACAGCCCAAGTTCGTGTCAAGTTACCAAAAGTTAACGTAAAGCTAAAGTTACGTGAAGTTACTTCAAGTTACTGTTTTGTACTTTACTTATACTTTTACTTTACTTTACTTGTGAAAGTAACTTCCCCTGCCATAAGTAAAGTAAAGTAAGCTCTAGCAGGGAAAGTTAGTTTCACAAAGTAACTTTGTGAAGCATCATTTCAACGTTGTTGTAGGATGAAAAGGAGATCTCGGCGGGGACAGTTGTCGCCCAGGTGCAGGTGGTGCAAGTGGCGAAGTCGAAATTCAGGGTTTCGATGGGATAGGGGGCATTAGCGGTGAAGGTAAGTTCCCTTTGACCATTTCGACATGGATCTGTCACCTCGAGTGTTCGTAGGTGGCCAAGGAAAAGGCGGTGAACATGGCAGTTTTGATGAAGCACCGCAGATGCCCGTACTGTATGTTGCGCTCTTCACCAGAGTTCAAATCGGTAAGCCGGAATGTTCCACCTTGTCGTTACTCCCTAAATGATATTACAAGGTCGGTGCTACCTCGGTGTCTCCGGTGGTCGAGGCGGTCCAGGAGGGATGGGAGCAAATGGACGCGGCAAAGACGGTGAATCTCAAGAGATTTCATGCCTCTTTTTTCCCTACCACGAGGAACCACGGTGTCAGAGGTCACTTACGATGTTAACACCTTCGGAGGTTCCGGCGAATCTCCGCCAGCTGCTAAGCCGTCTTAGGTAACTGTCAGTGAGCTGCACAGTGATACTAAAGTGGAGACTCTGGAAAGATAGTCCTGTTGCATTTACTAGCATAGAACTAGTTGCTCGACTTCCGCATGTAAACCTAGCGGTTTAGAGGACCTGCGGGTACAAAACACTATTGACCCAGCACATTGTTACGGGTCACATGATCGGCGGGCCGGCCTGCCTTATTTAGTGATTACGGACGGATGTACAAGTAGTAACAAATAACGCGACCGCGTCCCTTCTCTTCTCACGTCTGCCTCACAATCGTCTCACGGACGTGACGCATCGCGGCCTTCCATGTCGGACTCCGAGGAGCTTCGCTATTGTTCTACTTGCAAGACACACAAACCTGCAGCCGACTTTCGGCTCAAACGCGATGGGACGCGTAACAGCACTTGCCTTACGTGCAATGCGCGCACGAGTGCCGCAAATCGAGAACGTAGAGCCAAGAATAAAGAAAACTTACTCCCGGATGATCCCGAGGATGACAGCGTTGGAACTGATCTAACAGCGGCGAGACATCGGGAAAGATGTGAGTTTGATGGTGGTTGATATAAACAGGTATGAGTCCACAGGGCAAAAGCGGGACAACACCTGGGGAAAAAAGGGTGATAAAGTGGCAAACAGACGAATGGAGAACACAATGGGGTATCAACTTCCAGAATAGACAACAATAGATTAATTTGTTGAGCTATTGGGTAGAAGTTCTTTCACATAAATGAGGCAGATAAATTATCCTTGACCTGCAGGGAGGTAGAGTTATGCGGGTGAGTATACTGGACAAGTAGGTGCAGAAAAATAGAGGGCCGGGACGCCGGCGTTGAGGAAACAGGATATGAAGTTGTTCATTACCGAAAGGGGATGAAAAAGGAAAAGTAGACACCCATCCAGGCTTGAACACACGAACCAGGAAAACATGATTATGTTAGACAGTAATCGAAGGTGAACTTTGAGAATGAGCCAAGAGACCATTGTGTAGAAAGGGAATGGCTAGAATATCTCCGAGTCTTGATTTACCCTTTTCACACAGAAATAAAATTATCACATGCTCCTTAGGCTGTCAGAAAATCTGTAACTAGGCATACATAAAGATCGGCGCGATATACGTCTTTTTTATCCATATATATAAGGGTCCAGCCCTTGAAGCACTCCAGAAAGGTCGATGTAACGTCTACCTACCATATGGGGACGAGGTCACGTTTTCGTAACAACTTGCTGGGTGAATTGCATCGACTCCTGCGGGTGGTTGAGGAACCGACCCGCCCGGTATTCATACCTGTCCCACGCCGGGTACGGGTTTAGCAGGTACAGTTGCGGTTTGACCTTGTGGTACCCGCGGATGTACCCGTGACCAATCTTTCCCGGGCCGGAAAGCTGAATTGTGGAGCTGACTTGACCGGGGGTGGTCGTGCTTATCATGCATTCTCTGCGCCTCAGGAAATATCAGGGCATTGCCTGTTCATTTGCCTCAACGATACGGCTCTAGATCCCGCCACGTAACCGCACTCAGACATAGCTCGCTCTATTGCACCTTCTTCGCCGCCCGCAACATCCCAGGATAGCTTGGAACTTCACTCATTCTTACGTGACTCGAAAGTCGTCTAGACCTCTTTTATCGATCCATCAAGTCACCAGCTCCCTATGGCGCTTGAGCAATCTCATTGCTACCGACCCCAGTCCCTATTAAACCCCCTTGTCATGCAGAGGGACGCCATATACTCCTCCTGGCATCTCTTGGATCACGTTCAATGGTGCCCCAAACACTTTTTCTTTTAGGTGCGTCGGGCTTTGTCGGTGGCGAGCTTCTACTACTTCTTGCCCGCGAACACCCCGAGTTCAGGATCCGAGCACTTCTTCGCGATGTCACTCCAGAACGCACCAGCGCCCTTAAGGCCCTGCACCCGGGTATTGAGATTGTACAAGGATTTTTCGAAGACCGTCAGACTATACAAACCGAGGCCGAAGAAGCGGACATTGTTATCAATACTGCGAGTTCCGACCATTGGCCAAGTGTCGAAGGTGTGCCTCCTCATTCGTCATTGTAGCCCCCACGAACAGTGCTCATATGCATACGGTCTTACTAGCTACCCTCGAGGGACTGGAAAAGAACTCGGCAGAAAATCTGGGAAAGCCCCCTCTTTATATCCACGTTTCCGGATCAGGAATCATCAGTGACAACGTCCGTGGGGAGAAAGTAACACACGTACGCGAGTGGACCGACATGGGGCTCCGCTTGAAAGAGTAAGTTCAGGCTCCATAGCTTTCACATGACACTGATGAGACATGACAAGTTGTCCGCAAGAGAACACGCATTTGGAGTCGGACACGAAAGTAAACGTCACCTTTGTGGTGCTTTGTAGTTTCTCACCGATTTTCGGGTCCGGTTTCTGTTCTCCACCGGTAGATCATTGAGGCAGGAACGCGTACCAAAAACCGGGTGCGAGCCATCATACTTTTACCGGGGCAGGTGCGTCCCGGGACTTCCGTCAACTTCCGACGTGGCTATCCACTCATTAAAAATCTTGACGCGCAGATATACGGTACTGGTCGAGGTCAGTCGTATAACGCAAACCTTATTCCAAAATCATTCAGCGAGGGTTTTCCTACAGGTCTACAGAAGACCACTCTCTGGGTTCGAATCTTCCTGGATATAGTGAAAAATGCAGGATACTGTGGCACTTGGGGCCCGGGCGAGAATTCCCAGAGTAATATTCATGTCAGGGATATGGCAAGAGCTGTAACAACAGTGCTTAATGCCGCTCTTGAAGGTAGAGCTGGCGAAGGTGCCGATGGTTTATGTGACTTCCCTCCGTTGCCTATCAAGATTGTTGGAGAGCTCATGTTCGTTATAGACTTCACTGTCAGTTCGGCACCGCTTATCACCTATCACGACTGGTGTACTATGATGGGAGACGTATGTACTGTCGGAATCCCTTCAGTCTTTTCGCCTGACTCTTCTCCAGATCCTCTTCGAGAAAGGGTTCGCTAAAGAACGCGGGGCAAAACCTTTCCCCTTGGAGATTACTGAACCATGGGGTCACTGTACGGACTAGTTTCGATTTTCCACACGAACGATGCCCTTGACACGAACCTCGTAGACGGCTGGTCTTTATTCGGCAGTAATCAACGTGCGCGCCCAGATAGGCTTTCAGCTCTCGGCTGGGTGCCCGAACAGAGTCTACTCTCGAGCATCCACGAAGAGTTCCCGGCAATGGTAGAAGCAGCCCTCGAAGACTACGCTATCAAGGCCAAGTTCGCATTCCGTTGAGCGGTACAACACCGTTATACCAGTGCAACTTGCTATGTCACATCTAACACCAGTCTATTATATCTGATGTTCCACTTTCAACTACATTTATGCAACCATATCCAATGTGGCTCAAATGTCAGACAGGGTAGGAAATTTGAAGCCCTGGAACGCAGTTCAGCTCCAGATAAGATGAGAAGGTCAGAGTATACTTAGTTTGACGACGAAGAGTGGACAATTTACATTGTTCTTCTGGTGACCCATCTTCCTCGGTCTGCGTGTGGCACCGAGCCACATGTTGTAGGGCCATAACACAGCACGATAATCTCAGGCATCGAAAATCGAATTGATTGTGCCACACTAGCGCCAGCGAGCGAGGAACGACGGCGAACCTTCTTTGCCTTTTGTCCTAGACTAGCAGTGTGCCTGTGCTAGTGAAATTGAAGGAGCTCAACTTAAGTTAATGCCGGTCTGAACCACAGCGGAACTCAAGTCCCGCTGAACTTAAGTTCTGCCCTGCATGCGGTCAGCCTGTAAATGTGAGGACCACACCCCTGGAACTTGAGTCCTGTATCACTCAAGTCCAGCAACACTTAAGTCCTGTCCAAACACTTAAGTCCTGTCCAAACACTTTAGTCCCCGAGCACTTAAGTTCTGTCCAAACACCGAAAACAAATCCACCAAGGTGATTCGAACAGCGGACCTCCTGACTTTTCACCAAATTAGAAGGTGAAGGTGTTGACCACTACACCAGGAAGGAGATAGTATCTTGAACAGATGGATACAATATTAGCCTTATAATGGCCTAAACCTTCTCCACTTTCTTTATTTTGCCTCTTCAGGTCCTGTGGCCAATCCACTATCCATAGATGATTCAGAGATTGATCTATTTCAATAAACTCATCTATATAAAAAAACATGATGAAAGATGACTGGAAATGACAAGTGAGTCAATAGATATGCAGTACTTCCCATGGCATTCCCATGGTAGAAAGAGGGCATGTAAGAGATATAATGACAGTCTGATTGAGGACTTTAGGCAAGGTTTTCCTGGTGTAGTGGTTAACCCTGCCTCTCTTCTTCTCCTGGAAATTGGAAGGTCAGCCGTTCGAATCTCACAGGTGGATTTTGTTTTGTGTATTATATAATCCTTGTGCAATCACTTGAGTTCTCTATCACTTAAGTCCTCTGGTGGTCTGGACCGCCCAGAACTTAAGATGAGCTAATAAAGTATCTGCATGCTACGCTACGAGAAGTATTCTGCAGCGGATAGATGATATTGGAACGATCCCAGAACCCATGCAAGATTTAGATGGAAAGAGCTAATAAAGTATCTGCGTGCTACGCTACGGGAAGTATTCTGCAGCGGATAGACAATATTGGAACGATCCCAGAACCCATGCAAGATTTATATGGAAAGACGCCGCTTGTCAGCAACGTTCGTTTGACTCCTCATGGCCGCATGGACAGAAAGTAAAGCGGCTGCCTTCCCTCCTTCCGGAGTTTTAAGTCTGTGTTGTCGCTCAGAGAAGGGTTGAATTCTTTGCCCACTCTTTGCCTCCACCAGTATTTCGGCTCGTGTTCTTCTACAGCTACATTCAGCTCATGGTCTATTAGATCAAATCCTGTGCCATGTTGGGGATTCAATGTTCACTCTTAAAGAAAAAATATCCGCAAGAAATTTACCATAAGTAAACTAATATGCACATGCAAAATATGTAATGCCGCCGCTCACAATACGAGAAATGTAGCTGATTGCTGCTTCCTGAAGCCGATGTCCCACTCTCAAATGATCCTTGAAGTTGTGGATCATCTTGGAAGCTAGAAACAATCCAGATTGAATTTAAAATTCAATTCATTGGCACGGGCTCGAATCAGGGCAATCCACAACACCTGGGGAACAGACATATCATTTGTACTGGCGCAACCGCATTTTGTTGTTGTTGAATCCTCCCATGGGTTTTTTCGGACCTGTCAATAGTTCCTCCATCTTCTGGAATAGCTGACCAGATTTCATTGGATTCTGTTTGCTGTGGAAATACCCATTGAGTGGGAAGGAAATTTTGACGTTGCAGTGACGTTTGACGCATGCAATGTCAGTTTGTGTCAGTTCAATTTTGCGTCAATGTTGAACTGACAGTATCTGCCATCGCCGACATCCCAATCTTGGTGAGGAACATGATGGACCATCCGTACATCGTTTACCAGTTGAATATCAGCCGAATCGGTGTGTTGAACCTTCAGAAACACTGATTAAAATTTCGTGCAACGTCAATCAACGTCGATGTTGCAACGTCACATGCGTCACAGCGCCGATTTGCGTCAATATTCCGCGTCAAAAGAGCTTCAGTTCACGTCAGTTGTTCCAATGCACACGTCAATTTGCGCTGTGAAACAGCGTCAACGTGACGGGCCTGCGTCAATACAATGTCAGTCCCGGTCAGTCCCAATGTCTCCAGGCGTCACGTGGTGCGTTCTATCGCTGTGCCTTCGCACAACAGAACATTGCCGTTGGTGTCATTCAACTTCTCAGTCTCTCACCTGCTGTCTCCCACCTTTTTCTGTGAACAAACTGCATTAACTACTGCTGTTGAATTCAAATGTCCAGTTCAACACTCAATTCAATACCAACTGCTGCTGCTGTTCTACTGATCTCAAATAAGATTTCTGTGCTCTGAATGTTTCATTTTCTGTCAATCGTGTTGAATCCCTTGTTCTCCAAGGAGCTGTGATGTCCAAGTGACCCATCGATCCTGCGCACCTCTCGCCATCAGTACTATTTTCGACCCCGTACTTGGCCACCTAAGCATTCTTGCCTCGGTATTAACATCTAGCATCGTTCTACATGGACACAACAACTTCAGATGGAAGGCAGACATCTTATGAAGAGTTTAAGCCTACTCCTACCCAAATATATGAAGATTTGGTCTGGCAATGAATTTCTTTCGGACAGTGGTTCAATAAGGCCAAATAACAGGGTAGTTGGCCACCTTCCCAAATCAAGCTTTGAAGCTGGAACTCGGCGACCGGAGCCATCGGGAATCGCACCTAGGGCATATAGTCACAATTACAACATATATTGGTTCTCATGTGGCCCATATGCAGTGTGTGAATAGCTGTCCTCCGACAGGGAAAAAGCCCGACTCAGGCCGCTTGAGCAATGCCACGTCTAGTGGAAGATGAAATCTTGCTAGGCCTCAAATTGCGCTTCAAACAGCATACAGGAACGGTATACAATCCAATATGAGCCCTTCAAAAAAAGGAGCTGTACCTTCAGGGGAGGGTAGCAAAGGAATTTTTAACATAATCACAGCACCAATAGCTACGAACGATTCGCTAAGATAAGGGGAACGACCTACAAAGTCCTGGAATGGTGAAGAATTGGTTGAAAGGGAGCTGAGATAAGAAAGGCGAGCCACGTCGGCAATAAGAAAATGATGATTACATGTTTCGGAGCCCGATCCGACATGGCGTAACTTTCCATCAACCCATCACTTTAACTCCAAATTCGGTTCAGGCATTCGTTATGGGCTCTACTATCATCCCTCATGATGCCAAGTTATACATGTCAAGGCTTAGAATGCTAGCTACCAAATGGCCAACTAGGGGGGTGGCCAACTACCGGGTCCAAGATAGTACTTGTTCACCTCTGCATCAGATTGCCTGAAGCACTGTTCAAAAATGGGCTTCACAAAAATTGTCTTACTCCCGTCGCCACTCGGCGTCAACGAAATTGCTGCAGCTGACCCATTTTCGATGCAAATTGAATTTAAAATGAGGCCACTGAACTTTAGTACGGCGCCGGTCTAGATAGGCAATGCAAAACACCTACCTCGGGGTCTATTAGTTGGAGTTTGACGTCCTGTGCGCCGGTCTGCGTAAATGCACAGCCACTGAACGTCAATGCAACATTGACGTTCATTGATGCAGCATCGATGTATTTTGAGTTTTGTCATTTAATGGGCTCTAACATGTTGCAAAAAGCTTTGCAGCTCCTCAAGAGAAATTCACCCCACAGGTGAAAATCTAGCAATAAGGGTTTAAATTTCTGGTATTCAACATTCAGAGCCCCCAAACTCAGCACGGATGCGAATATAGACATTCGAGCATACAATAAGTCTGCTGCCTATCAGAAATTGATCTGATCGTGTCTGGAGGACTGTCGCAGCTGTTTCAGTGCAAATTATGTTGTCTAACAGTGCCGGAATGCCAGATACTTTATTAGCTCATCTTAAGTTCTAGGCGGTCCAGACCACCAGAGGACTTAAGTGATAGAGAACTCAACTGATTGCACAAGGATTATATAATACACAAAAACAAAATCCACGTGTGAGATTCGAACCGCTGACCTTGCAATTCCAGGAGAAGAAGAGATGCAGGGTTAGCCACTACACCAGGAGAACCTTGACTAAAGTCCTCAATCAGACTGTCATTATATCTCTTACAAGCGGCTGCTCGGCCGCTTCACGGCCTCGCATCCCCTTCCTTTGGGTTTAAAATTGATGCGCAGTGGGGCAATAACTAAATAAAATGCGGCGGAGTCTACAGTGGATGGGTAAAACTCGCCTATCACTTTTCGGTGATGTGGCCATTTGTGGCACAACGGAACGTTCCGAGTGTGTGCACCAGTAAGCGCATCACCGACAGTTCAACTTCGTCAGTATCGCTGTACATACGTGTAATTTACCTGTATAACGAGGCGGGAAATATGAAGCCACCTTTGGAACTATGCTAGTCAACCAGGCAGGACAATTTTTCTTTTATTTTACACAGCCATTCGAGACAACCTCAGGCTAAATGTATACTGTAACCTGGAACCTGCTTTTATAGCCAGTGCCCCCCACGAAAAGAAGATAAATGAAAACGGGGCTCAATAATAAGCAGGAGCGGCCAATTCCAGAACAGCGAGAATTAACACTGACTAAAATACAGCATGGAAAGAAATAGACCAATCTGATTTTGATTTATACGAGTGCAAGCAGGCGCGAGCTAGCCCAGACAGTGAGCGGGAGGGCGGGATCTGGCGGGTCCATTACGGCTGACTTTGATAGCCATCGGCAAGGATGATCTTATCAGTTCGGGAATCTTTTTGATGGGATCGAGTTTTACCCATCGACTCCCCTCTCAATGCGGTGATCTCTCCAGGCGCTTATCACTTAACGGAAGTGGTGGGCCGCGAAGCGCCGCACTCTTGTAAACGTACACGGAAAGTATCGGGCGACCTGTAACTGTTTAGCGTTGTGTACACTTTTATAGGCGCACGCGCGCTTAAAGTTGATCATGGGACCAAAAGCCCCGAGGAAGCACCGTTTATTGGGCGCTTCCAAAGGTCTGGCCCCAGCGCTTCCAAAGCCTCGGGCCTGATCTCCCAAAAGCGGAGTTTAAAGGCTTCACACAGACACCCTTAATTTTATAAAGAGAGAGACATGCCCTCTTTCTACCATGTTAATGCCATGGTAAGTACTGCATATCTATTGACTCATTTGTCATTTCCAGTCATCTTTAGTTCAGCAGGACTTGAGTTCCGCTGTGGTTCAGATGGGCATTAACTTAAGTTGAGCTTCTTCAATTTCATGGAATGCGGCCAAACATTGAAACCTACGCGCAAAAATACCAGTTTCCGAGCTCCATTCAACAACAGGTGACCTCTTCATACCCGCTGTCTCCCCTCTTTTTCCTGTCTTCCTGCCATCATCGTTCCTATCCCCTCTCTCTCGCATGCGGGTCGAGAATGTTGCTCAGTTCAACCGCAGCCTACCT